AAGGATAATAAGGAATAAAGAGAAAGAAGGGATAGAAGGAAGCTAAAGGGGTAAACTTAGTTTTCTCAAACTCACCAGTTAGTTAATTCCCACTGTAGTAGGAGACCGCTTGTTTGTTCCTGGCCACCCAAGAACCAAAATAATCTTACAGAAACTATATTATTTAAATCACTACTTGGTGTATTGCTAGCTAGCTCATATTTTTGGTTAATCCATTTTTATTACTGTGGTATAACCCTTTTACCACGAGGCCTGTGGCCTACTGGCAAGGTTCTAGCTGACAGTTTGTGTTCCTCCCCTTTGGTGCTTCATAGCATCTCACAGACTCTGCCTCCTCTCTCTATGTATATCTCTTCCAGCCTGGCAATATTCTGTTAAGCCACTGGCCAAAAGTGACTTCTTTATTAATCAATAAAAGCAACACATATACAGTAGGACTTCCCACACCACTCTCCCATTGGAGAGAAAACATTACCAAAAACAAGGCACGAAGTTCCTTCTCTTGGGACTGGAACACCAGAATGACATAACCTTCCACTAGCTATTGACTTTTATTTTGTAGTTCAAGGATCTATTCCCAGGTGTGATGGGGGCATGATGTGTCTGAAATGATGACCCCTTGATCATACCCAGAAAAGAAAACTTATAAAATACCCTAAGCATTGTGCAAGGAGACATCCAATTTGTACAATTTGACACATATAACATGATTTAAATGCATATATTCATACGAACCAAGAGAGATACCAAGGGAATGAGAAGTTGAAAAGTTTTCTAGAAGCTTCACAGCAAGAACACATCAGGGCAAGAGTCCACATTTTATACCCCTGCCTCCAGCAGTGTTAATGCTTACAGCTCCCTGTCCCTAGCTGCAGACCTCAGTGGGCTTGGGAGACACACCAAGCAGACAACTCAGGGAATTCACAAGCCTACAGGCAGAACCCAAGGCTGCTGAACAACCAATAAGGAAAAATCACTTCTGCTCACTACTGTTTCAATAAATGATATAATGGCTACTGAATCTACTTAAAGCAAAATGAAATCTTCTGTTGATTATTTTGCTCTTTTCAGCCAATGGATATGAACATTACAATCATGCTGATAGTTATTTTATTTTTTTGTACAACATTGAATGAAGGAATTTTGTGCTATCAGCAGAAGAAAGATATCCCAGGCTTGAGAGAGAAAGATTTGAATGTTATCTCCAGAGACAACTTAAAGTTATTCCTGAAGGTTCTTAAGTTTAAGCTTTTTATGAGCAATTTGCTGCTGCTGTTTTCTATCTTTGCGGTTCTCCGTGTGAGGGACACTGACACCTGACTGAGCTCAACAACTTTATAAAAGTTGCATTGATATTGGGAATAGGAGAGAGTGAGATGACATGCATTTTCAAAATCACAGGGATAATGGCTGGGGCTGTTGACACCACGAACTGGTAACATAGTATTCAATTTCCTAGGCTTATGTGAGGATATTTGACATTGTTAGAATACTTGCCTACCATACATAGAAGCCTATGTCCAATCCCTAGTACAGCCAAAAATAAAGGAAAGTAAAAGAAAGCATTGACTTGAGGAGGATATATTGGTTGCATTGGCAGTACTTTATTGGGACAAGTCTGTCAGTAAAGTAATGAGGTCATCATGGGAATCTGACTCAAAAGCCTAAGACTGGCGTGTTATCTGTAGCATGTCAAAAAGACAGGGATAGGAAAGTCCCTTGGGCTCGTGAGCCTGCCCAGCTGGAGCAGCAAACTCTAGATACATTGAGAGACTTAATTTGAAAGTTTAAGGTAGAAAACAATACAGGAATACATCTGATGTCAACCTCGACCATACACACGCTTACACATGCATACCTGTTTATACATATGCATACACCACACACACATCAAAGACATGAAAGAACACTAATATTTGTGTGTGTGTGCCAGAAAAGTCATTTATATAGCTATCATTTGTTAAAAACTTACTGTATGTGAAACATTGAAATATTACCCAGATCTTGCCCATTTGCTGATATACATGCCCATAGCATGTACACATGAGAGACATGTATGCTTACTACTACTCGGTAATTTAAGGGATGTAAATCAGCTGAAGGCACAAATACTGATAGAAATTACCAAATAAAAATATATGCCATGGTGCCGTAAATACAAAATATATCTCAGACTTGGAGTTATATATTAAGTGTCAAGCTCAGTATAGGCTTTGAAAGGACTATGGGTAAGGACTAGCAGGGGCAAGTATGATCCCTGCTGAGGAAGTGTTTGGTGAACGAGAAAGGCAAGAACACAAGTAACACCCTACAATTTTGTTGGGTAGGAAGGAAGCATTAGCTAGGAGAATAATTGTTTGAAGCAATAGGTTGAGACAAATAAAATGTGGATGGTGCCAAAATACAGAATTTGGATTTCAGATACTGAAAGTCCATATTTCCTGAGATGCATGTAGCCATCCTCAATGCAGTAAAACCTCATTATTCCCTGCTTGTCAGCTCTGAGTATATGGTACATGTAATAGTTACTCTTCTGTTGCTGTGATAAAATACCATGATCAAAAAATCATTTACAGAACAGATTATTTTTGTTTATGGTTCCAGGGGGGATAAGAATAAATTGTGGCAGGAAGGTGTGATAGCAAGCAACAGGGATGAGATGAACTATGAGATTTCACCTTCAACCACAAACATAAAGCAGAGAGAGAAGCAGAAGTAGGGCAAGTCTTAAATTTCTCAAGACCCACCCTTGGTGATACATTTCCCTCAGCAAGGCTGCACCAACTCTCCAAACAGCATTACCAACTGTTTACCAAAATTTCAAGTGCCTGAGCCTATGGTAGGGCATTCCTCATTCAAACCACCACATCTTTGCCAGGTCTGAGTTTGTGATATCCTTTATCAATTCAAAAGCATTGGTGATACTAACTCAGGCTCCTTAATTAGTGTATGCTGTTACCCACCAAGGACTATTTTAGCTTTGTCCAATCCTCCTATGTAGGAATATCAAATTGTTCTCCAGTGCAAAGATTCTGATTAGAGCTTCTCAGCTAAGGGACCAAGTCTTTTTGAGCTGGTTGTTTTGCATTAAACCTCAAGGTTATTGCATGAGGCATTTATTGGCTCTTCCACTCACTAAATTGAACATACACTTTATGAAAGGATTCTACAAGTTTGGGTTGCAATCACCTACATTGACAAAGTGGGCAGTAGTATTTTTCTGTGCCTCTAATTTATATGTTTGTGCAGGGACGATGATTTACATAGCAGCTTAATAAATTGATCAAATAAATTGCAGCAAACTTTTGCACCATCATTTCAGAGAGTTGCCATCAAACCAATGTCCTATATCACCCAGCGTGGTGTTCCAACAGTACTGCTGTGTTTTCTTAGCATGCAGCCGGGTTTTCATTTGGTTAGAAAGCTCTTTATTTCTAAGATTGGTCAACAGCATGAGAAGTTTCACTTCAGAAGGTTAGCTGTGAAAGCCATCAATGGCTAGTTGTGTGACTGTTAACAAATCATTTAAAGTTCCTAAACCTCAATTTCTCATTCTGTGAAATGTGGATCACTAATGCTCTTAAGAAAAGGATGTGGGTGTCAGCCAAATGCAGATTTACATACTAGCTTCATCAGTAATTGTTTGTAATTGTATTAATCACTGGTTGTATGAAAGTCTCATTCCCCAGTCAATAAAGTGGCAGGGGTAATTCTAAGATACCTTTTTCTGATAACTTATATTAGAATGTCTAAATGAAACTAGGTAGGTTTGATAACATGCCTGAAAGGCTCAGAGATTCAGTCCTACCTACATTCCAGACACACATCCCTTAGTGATGGACTACACTCACTAGACACAGCCAAATATGATTAATGATACCCTAGAAACACAGCCCTAAATGATAGACTACAAGCCTAACCGATCTGAAATGTTATGGTTCACCAGAGACAAGGCTGACTATGGTGGCAGAAAAGTACTTATCCATCCAGATGACATCATTGCATTGACATGATGTTGAAATGGTGCTTAGTAACATAGATGATGTGGGATTCCCCTCTATATGCTATGAATATGTTTTACTGCCATTGGTTAATAAAGAGGCTGCTTTCGGCCAATGGCTTAACAGAATATAATTAGGCTGGAAAAGATATATAGAGTAGGCAGAGTCAGGGAGAAGCCATATATAGCCACGACAGGAGAAAGATGCTGGACACCAGACAGAAACTTACCAGTAGACTACAACCAGATAGCAATACAAAGATTAATAGAAATGGGTTAATTTAAGATATAAGAGCTAGAAAATAAGAAATGTGAGCTAATAGACCAAGCAATTTTGTAATAATACAGTTTCTGTGTAATTATTTTGGGTCTGGGCAGCTGGAAAACAAACAAGCAGCCTCCGACAACACATAGATGGATGCATTTTGGAAGCAGTAACAACAGAAGCACCGTGACAAGCTGGCTCTTGATTATGGACTCTCCTCTCATGAAACAAGGATAATTCCTTATTCTTTAATTTAAAAAATGCAGAAATCCAATAAATTAATATATAAAAGAAAACATCATATTGGAATGCTTGAAGATTAGTATGTGAGGTCATAAAGATATAACTCATGTCCCATGATTTAGGGAATGAAACACATCTTTGTATGCATGGATAGATGGACAGATGTTTGGGTAGATGGATGGATGGTTGGAGACTATGGCATTATCAAAAACAGATGACCTTGGACAAGATAATTAACCATTTTGGAAGCTGTGTCTTCTCTGTAAAATGGAGATAATAAAAGCAGCTGCCTAATTGTCAGAATGAAATATGTTTATGCAAGTTAAACACTTGGGTCAGGACCTAGCACTTAATGAAAGCCCCCAGTGAATGTGAGCTGTTATTACGAAAATGTGGGTCTGCATAATTATTCATTGTGTCTGGTACTCTCCAGCCCTAGATGCCTGTGCTGCTGCTTCTAAGACATCTATCTGTATTCTCTGTGTTTTACAGGCCAACAGGTCCTGGGCTTGGTAGAGAACCAGAGTGACTGGTATCTTGGAAATCTCTGGAAAAATCACCGTCCATGGCCAGCCCTTGGAAGGGGCTACAACACAGGTAAATCATAAGGGCAATGTAAACGGGGGACAACAGAGAGTGATGTTTAGACTCATTGTCCCTTCCTAAAAGAGAGGGGATGTGTAGCAATGTGGAGGAGGACATGCAGTTTCCTGTTTCATCAGAGCATAGGACATGCACAGGTGGCTCTTTCAGTTATTACTCTATGTCATGCTGCAAGCAATAAGCAGTTGAGCTGGGGAAGTATGGTGCGGTCTTTCCAGAAAGCCTCTCTGCTGGCTTTAATGCTGATCTCCCATTGAGTTCTTTATCAGTTTGACATGTAATGTCTTTATCTATTGATATAAATTAGAGATCAGTCTCTAGCAATAAATTCAATATTTAGTTTCTTAATTGAACAGATATTGTCTTGTATATTGTATGTGCAGCTTGGATATTCAGGGGTCTGCACTTGCAATACGTATCAGTATTTATCTTACTGCATTCTTCCATGTATAGGCTGGGAAAACAGCAGGAGCTCATATTTTCTCTGATTATTCTTATCTCTAAAAGGTACATATATAGCCTAGCGAGTGTCAGAAGAAAAGGCAGACATATTTGAAAATTGTTAGTTCTGGGTACTGCATTCCTCAAATAGCATGTCTAAAGTCACATATTATTTTCTACTTTGTTACTACCACCAATCTTGGAATTTCTCTTTGTTTCTTGTTTCTCTGTTATTAATAGTTACTTGTGCAGCCATTCTTTATTCAACATATATCTGAATTATAAGTAACATAGATGCAGTCCATGGCTTCAGGGAATGGATGAATATACTGCTAAATAGTAGAGGAATCTGAGGACTCTCTGAGAAGGTCTGGAATGGGAAACTGAAGATATGATGACCAGAATAGTATGAATGGAAGTACTTCTGAATTCCAATAATGGCAAGACAGCACTTCTTCTTACCTGGTAGTTGTTAGTTTGACATTGAAGTAGATGCTAGCTTGGATTAGCATCATAGGATTCTGATGCTATATTTTTCTGTACTAGAGAAAATTGATGCTTAGAGATTTCAAGAGTGCAACCCTAATTAAGGAAGCCTGTAAGGTTAGCTACTGACCTTGCTACCTCAAACTTGAAACACTTTATGATCAAATACTTTTTATTTGTATTTGGTTTTAAATTTTGTGACAGAGCCCAGGCCAGCATAGAATTTACTATGTATCCCAGACTGTCCTTAATATCCTGACATTGCATACATATGTGATTCAAATACTCTTAAGTATACTGGGCTCTGTCCTTAAGGAGTCTAGTGGGTCTGTGGAGGGGTCAATATTGCACTGTAAGGAGCCTTTGGCATGTTTCTGAAGCAGAATATCCAAAACCCTTCTATAATGAATAGGATATATTGTCTCTCTTCCAGCAAGAACAATGAGACACCTCCCTGTATGTGTTTGTGTGTGTGTGTGTGTGTGCACATACATGCTCCCAGATTCATATGTATAGAGGCCAAAAAGCAATCTCCTCTGTCTTTCACCTTGATTTTTGAGGCAGGGTTTCTTATCATGACCTAGGACTCAATGATTAGGTTTGACTGCCTGGTCTGCAAGCCCTAAGAATCTGCCTGTCTGCCTCCACAGACTTGAGAATACAAGTATGTGGACACACGTGCAAATACACACACATACAAACCCACACACACATGGCTTTTTTACATGGATACAGTGTGCCTAACTCAGATCCTCAAAGTTGCATGGCAAGCACTTTGTTGATTGAGCCATGTGCCCCGGATCCATGAACACTGTTTTCTTAATGCATTTGAGATTGGACTGTGTATGATTTCACAGAAGGCCAATGAGAAGGCATCATGTATCTAATTGAAGCAAAAACAGCCATCTTTTCATTAATGTCTAGGCTTTCAAAGAGACATAGATACCTCTGTATTTTTGAATGCAAAAGGGAGGTTTCAGGTGATGCCTGTCGTGCAGATTTCCTGTTCCTCAAGACCTATGCTAATAAAAATTCTCATGTAAACTACAGCACATTGAGGATGCAGTATCAAGTCATGGTTATCTTCATTAAACTAAAGCACTTATCACCAATCTAGGTTTGCAAGGAGAAGAAAAGTCTAGAACCATGGAAAATTGCTATGGCAAGGATGGCAAGTTCCTCCTTCTCTTATATATATTTCCTCATAGCATGATAATAGACAAGTGTCTTAACCACCTTCAATTTGTATTAGTATGTTGAGACAGTGAGTTTTCCCTTGAAAGGTCATTAAAGGGTACGGCAGGTAGGGAAAAGCCCTGTGATATGTGACAAGTCTCTTTCAAGACACCAGGTAATCATTATAAAAGAATTTATTTATCATCAAGATGACATGGCTTTCCCAATGAGGACCTTTTTTTATGACCAGTGAGTGTGCCACACATCAGCAGATGAGTTATCCAACTCTTAGGGAAATTGAAAACTCTACTGGAGGTAACTAATCACTCTAAATCCCAGCCATCTCCAGTCTCTCATGAGGCTCCTCTAGTAAAGTATCTTGTGGATGCTATTGGTAAGCTCCAACACATTTGGGTTGGATCCACAGCTTGACCACTGAGTCTTAACTATAGGCTTGGTCACTCAACTCAATCAGCTTAGTTTTCTGCCTTGTCAGGTCAGTACCCTCATCTTGTGAAGACCACTTGCTTTGGAAGAAACTTATTAAGAACCCAGCCTGATGCCAGGCGTAGAGTAGGTACTCAGTTCATTCTAGTCTCTGTCCTGCTGTGCATTTCATCACTTAATTCAGGAAATGGTGGGGACATAACTAACCAGCTGCTTATCACAGTCTCTTAAGCACCAAAGTTAGGGAAAAATAATTAATCATTCTATTTTTATACAAGTATGTACCTTTCCCCACTGTCTGGTAAAGCTTAGCATTTAGTTCTATAATTAAAAGGAAATAACACCTATTTTAGTAACTATACCAATTTCCCAACTTTATTTGGCTCTTAAAATCTCCAAAAACAGAACATGACATGTTTGAGCTGCAAAATCTGCCTCTTAGGCCTGTCTTGTATTTTTACAAAGCATACTCAACATTGTGAGCTCATAGTCTTTAGACCCAGAAGCTTGATAATCTTTGGTCAGAATCTGGGCAACTTTGTGAGGGTGTCACTGTAAGTACCTGTAAGCCAGAACATCTTGGGGGCTTGGTTTGGCTCCATTTCTCTGTCAGAACCAGTCTAACTAACTGTCAAGGTAGTACGTGTAATGGTAAAATAAAATGCTGCGAAATCCCAAGTGGCTACAGCGGGAAGCAGACCATGAGACCGTGCTGCAGGTCCCCAAGTCAGGGCAGGCAGCAGGCAGGGGTCCTGAGAGCAGCCAGTCCTAGGCAGGGATGACACACAAGACCATGCTGCAGGTCTCCGAAGGTGGTTGATCCTGGGCAGGGAGCCACGTGGCCGGTAAGAGGCAAAGACTTGGATAGGCATGCCATGCAAGGTGGGGTTGGTTATTTATTTATTTATTTAGTGGGTTATGGAGGGGAAAGGGAGAAGAGCATAGAGGTAGAGAGAGGAGGGAGGCAGGAAGGGAAGGAGGCAGGGAGGCAGGGAAGAAGGGAAAGGGTGGAAGTAGGGATAGAATGGAGCAAGGCTGCTGCCTCTTTGGGGAGGGAGTGGGCATGGCTTGTCTCTTAAAAAGACAGGACAGATCATTACAGTACTATTTAGCTACACTCCTCAAATGCCCCTGCTTCCCACCAGACCCATTCCCATGCAGCTCAGCTGTGTTTTCTCAATGTTGGTTGATTCCTAGGGTTATCTTCTAATGGAAACCTTCCCCTTGAAAGGTCCAGCTAGGCTTCCACTTCATCTCTGTTTGCGTTTCTTTCCAGTCGACTTTCACAAGGCACAGAGGTCCTTAAGAGATTTGGGGAAATATTCCTTCCACCTCCTCTTTCTTCATCTTGAAGATGTTTGAGGCACGGTAGCCTGACTGGCCCAGAACTCCCTGTGTAGCTGAGGATGACCTCAAACTTGGCAGCAATGCCCTTGCCTCAGCATTGCTGTCCTGAGTGCTATAGTTACTGCTTTCGGCACCACACCTGACTCTTAGTGGTGATTGTTATAACTCGTTCTCCTGCTCATGTATCATGGAGCTGGAACAACTGTAGATGAGATGACTAGGCAGTCCCAGAACAGAACTTTTGCCAGTAAGTGTTCAGGTGGATTTAAGGGCACCTTCTATATTCTTGGCACAGAAAAAGAACATTCTCAACTACTCTGTCCATGTATCACCTCCTGGGTGCAAGAAGATGCCATTCACTCAGCATTCATAAAACAGGTTTGACAGGCCCATTAAAATTCATCTCACTTCTGTTCATATGGTGATGGATGGCTGACTATCTTAAAAAGCCAACAACAGCAAAGGAGGGGGGATGAAAACACTTGGATGAGAGTTTGGGAAAGGCAAGGCAGACTTGAGAGGACATTAAGGAGCATATTCAAGCTCAACAAGAGATTTATTTGGCAACATCACAAAGGATCCAAGAGGAAGTTTTGTTGTCCCTAGATGAAGGACATGTTAGCTAGAGAAGGTCTGAGATTTGCAGGCAAATGGATGGATCTAGAAGACATCATATTGAGTAAGGTAACTCAGACCCAGAAAGACAAATATCATATGTACTCACTCATAAGTGGCTTTTAGACATAAAACAAAGAAAACCAGCCTATAATTCACCGGGTGGGACAGAAACCTCTGTCAATACTGACTTTCAGTGCAACCCACCCACAGCCGTAATTCTTATCTCCTGAACTATTTTTCCTTATGCATGTGGTGCAGGAGAATTGTCTGTGTTCTGTCAGTCATATTTTAAATAAATACTGATTGGCCAGGCAGCAAATGTAGGTGGGAAAACCAGACAGGAAGTAGAAATGATGTAATGAGAACAGGAAAATTCTGGGAAAGAGGACGTTGATTTCTCCCACTCCTGCCCAGTCCACCCAAGCAGCAGGATGTGATCTGCCCCACTGAAAAAAGGTACTGAACCACATGGCTAACAT